GTAGGAGAGGCCTGTTGGAGCGAGAGCACGAGGGCCCTAAGACACTTAGATAGGCCAGCAATGTCTGGCAGACCTTCCTCACCTGGTGCCGCCCTCGCGACGGACAAATTACCAACGTGAAAGCTAACATCAGCACACTGTGACTGCTAAGCCCATGACGTGGCCCAAAGCATAGCCACGGTCTCGGCAGCCATGTTGTCGAGAACTCCTGCAAAATATCCTACAAGGTGCCAGGGTCCCAAGAGGTGCAGCACTAACAAGACGAAAACCCACGACGGCGGCTTGTCACCTCTTCCCCCCGACCCATCAGAGTAGATGAATGCACGACAACCACAGAGGGGATTGCGCAAGATGAAGAGAAGGAATTGTAAGTACGCAAGAGAGCAAGGGAACAGGAACATCTCGATGCCCTGCCATCGCCGTGCAGGAGCCCACGACCAGGGTGCCTTAAGTGCCTCCAACAGACCTGAGCACTGCACACTCGATGACCTCAATGTGTTGTAGGGCCCACCCGGACTGCGATCGGAGAGATCCAGCTCAATCGGGGTGGACGGCTGAGCTACCCCGCGGGCTCCTCCTCGGCGGGCTGCTCTTCCCTTGCTGGCATGCCGCCCCCTTCTGCTTCTGAGGACGCAGTCCGCACTCCACGCGCTGGCGAGCGAGACGTTCCGTTCTGCCGCGTTCGGTTGGCCGCTGTCGGGCCTCCTCGAGGGCTCCGCGGCCCAGCATTGGCAACAGCAGACGACGCTTGCCCGCCACTGAGAGCAACAGACGCTCCCGAAGCAAGCGGCTGCGCTGGCATCAGAAATTGTGGAGGGGGAATCATTCCTTGTGGTAGGAACCTCGTCGCCGCCAGCAGTGCTTCGTGCTTCGCATTCAGCGTGTTGGACTGCGTACCGAGGCTGCTCACATTGGAATCTATGCGCTCCTGGAAAGCCACAAGGTTCCTCGATAGAGACGAGATCTGAGCCTGCACCACTGACAAGTCGACTATCTGAGCTGGCTACACAGGTGTCGTCTGCTGTGGTATCGGCATAGGCCCTCTCCTTCGCGAAGCAGTCGAGGTAGCGCCGACACCTTCGCCTCCTGCCGTCTTGACTTATTCCGCATCAGTCTCCATGGCTGCGGGCTCTCCTTGAGGCTCTTAACCCACCGGCTCCATACTCTCGAGCTCTGCAAGAGCTTGCTGATGTCTGTGAACCGATTGTTCGGAAATCTCTCGCTGCACTCGAAGGGCGTCGAGCTGGGCCTCCTTTGCTTGAATAGCCAGATCCTGCGAATCCAGACGCCCCTGCGATCGCTGCAACGCAGCCCGCTGGCGCTCCTTCTGCTGCTCCCATGGGCGGCAGAGGTGGATCGCAGTCAGGAGGTTCGCGTACCACTCTCGCTCCTCCTCCCCAGAATCCCCTGCGGCTTCTTTCATCCGAGTAGACGCCGCCAAGACCTTCATCTCTGCACGTCTCCGAGTGATATACTGCTTTCTCTCGGCCTCTGACTGGCCAGTGCCGCCGACCCGTGGCGCTTCCGATAATTATGATGATGATGTTGATGATGGTCATCTCGATGACGATGATGATGATGATGATGATGATGATGATGATGATGATGATGATGATGATGATTCTGATGATGATGATGATGACGATGATGATGATGATGATGATGATGATTATGATGATGATGATGATGACGACGATGATGATGATGATGATGATGATGATGATGATGCTGAAGATGAAGATGAAGATGAAGATGATGATTATGATGATCATGATGATGTTTATCATGGTAGTGGCCATGGGGGCATCTTGGGCGTCTTGGACCGATCGTTCGATGATTCGGGGCCTTCTTGGGCAGTCTTGAGGGCCTCTTGGGGCCCTGTTGGCCCGTCTTGGGCTTCTCTTGGGCTCGACAAAGTCATGCGGGAACGTTCTGGGGGCTCCAGAAGGCGCGCGAGGAGCCTCAAGAGATTTGAGAGTTTGGGGTCCGGGCCCATTCAGGATCCTCAGGCGTGAAGACTGAGGCTCAGGGGATTGAGCACGAGACCTGGGAAAACCTCTTGGGGATCGTTTTGGGGCCTCTTTTGGGCCTCTTGGGGGCCTTCTGGGGCCTCCTGGGGGCTTCTTGGGGGCCTGTGGGCCCCCCCGACCCCGAGCATCGAATGCGTCGGGAATGGCGTCCCCCCCCCCTTCTCGAGCCACTTAGGGGCTTCTTGGGGGCCTGTGGGCCCACCCGCCCCCCGAGCACCAAATGCGCCGTGAACGGAGCCCCCCCCCTTGCAGAGCGAAGCTTGAGCGAGCTCAAGTCCACGCTCTCAGAAACTCACACGCCGGATCGGCAGATATACTGCATGAGCTGGGAGTGTTGGCAGTGTGTTCAGAGGGGAAGTGGCATTGCCTCTCTTCTCCTCTCCGTCTGCGACATGCACGGATGGGGATCTCTGGCGCGCCCGCTCGGGCTGACCACGTCTCCCCCTGGACATACGTCCAGTAGGTGTCCGCTGGGCTGACTGTTGACCATCTGTCTGCGGCTCTCGAACCCACGGCTCTCGAACCATTCCGTACGCCATGGGCACCTGCTGGCCACTGAACTGCGCACCACCATAAGGCCCCTGACGCTGAGGACCGACCTGACGTGGAAGGGCATGTCCGCGACCGCTGGTCATGGCATTGTTCTGATCTGGCAGACACCCAGGGCATAATTGACAACCGAAAGAATTGACGGTGCCACATAGGTATTTCACACAACCAGCTATCCTGCATCGGACGTTGGGAAGAATGGTGACTAAGCAAACGGGTCTGAGCAGCAGCGACTCTCAACAACAAACGATCGTCGGTCCTCCGCTGTCGGGCTCGCCTTTGCCAGGCACCCTCGGGTTCGTCCCTTGGAATCGCGGCTGGCCGCTGCCCTAGCGGCTGGCACGCTAGGCTCGGATGGATCTGGCTGGAAAATTTCAAAATAGCCGAAATCCAAAAAGCACCGCCAGGAAATGCCTCCGACGGCTCGGGCCTTAGAAGGCGGAAGAGGAGGAGGAGGAGGAGGAGGAGGAGGAGCAGCAGAAGCAGCAGCAGCAGGAGCAGCAGCAGCAGCAGCAGCAGCAGCAGCAGGAGCCGGAGGAGGAGGAGGAGGAGGAGGAGGAGGAGGAGGAGGAGCAGCAGGAGCAGCAGGCGAGGGAGGAGGTGGAGGAGGAGGAGGAGGCGGAGGAGGAGGAAGAGAAGGAGGAGGAGGAGGAGGAGGAGGAGGAGGAGGAGGAGAAGGAGGAGGAGGAGGAGGAGGAGGAGGAGGAGGGGGACGCAACGTTCAGGAAAACTTTCGTGCCACGAGGCTCCATGTTCCAGGAGGAGGAGGAGGAGGACGACGACGCCGGCGGCGGCGGCGGCGGCCCCTGTGTTCATACTCCGCGGGCGCAGCAAGAGGTCTCGACCTCTCCCCCCCCGGAGGGGCAGCCTCTCGTCCTGGATAGACTGTGTGAGTGGGCCTGGGGCCCGAGAGCGGCTCCCCCCCCGGCCACGCGGAGAGGGGCCACAGTCGACCTATATAGCAAGAGCGCACGATGAGGACGCAAGGGCCTCGGAGGGCCATGTCGACACTCTGCGGGCGGGACGTGGGCTGTTGAGGATTGGCCGAAGGGGCAAGGATGCAGGGTAACCCGTATAACAAGGACGCACAATGAGGACGCAAGGGCCTCGGAGGGCCATATGGACCCTCTGCGGGCGGGGCGTGGTTGGTGAAAGCTTGGAAGGGTGGGTCGAAGGTGCAAGACGCAAAGGGCAGCCTGGGAGAGCTGCTCATCCTTCCTATGCGGGCTGACTGTATGGGGGGGGAGGGAAGGCTTCTTAAACGCACCCCTGCTTCTTAGAAGGCGCGGGCCTCGTCTGTAGATGTAGGGCCCGCGCCTTCTAAGAAGCGGGGGTGCTTCTAAGAAGCCTTCTCCCCTCACCCATACATCCTTGATCGCGCCGCCAAGGAAAAAGGGTTGATGGACCTGGGGCCTGAGAGCGGCTCCCTGGACGCCGAAATCAAGGGCAACAGCGCTGGGGTCGAACCACGAACAGTCCGCCCCTTCCTTCGGAGGCGACGATAAGGGCGACTATCCCAGGGGAGAGCAATACATGTACCCAGAGGCGCCCATGGTCCATGCCTTCGGCGAGGCTCCCAGGCACATACGTGTAATTCTCGCCCCTAGGCTATTCGTCCCTATCGTCCCCACCGATTGCCTGGCTGCGGGGTCCGACATCGACCCCCCGGACCCGTGAGTTCCAGCCAGGATTTCGAGGCGGATCCAGCCGAGGCGACGAGAATCTCCCAGGAGGCTTACGGACGTCCAGCATCATCAGAAAATTGCGGTCGGGAACTGTTGGTTAGCGCGTCGCTCCGCCCGTTCTGGCCCACCACGCGTCGGCGCGACACACCAAGCACGTTCCGCGAGCCTTTTCCAGCCTTTTCCAGAGACTTCCCCCTGCGTCAATGTCTCCAGCCTTTCCCAGTCACGCGCCATCCGCTTGCAAGGCATAGCGTGTCACAGGGGCCGCCGCCGCGACACACTAATCAAAAGCTCCTGCCGTAACCCTGGGCCTCTCAGATGGGATCCGAGCAGATGGGGTTGGAGGATTGCGTCGCATCGCCGATGCATCGGCGATGCGGCTCGATGCGGAGCCCGATTTTCGCCACGCCGACGTCGGCGATGAATCGCCGACGTCGCCGATGCGTCGCCGATGCGTTGCCGATGCGTTGCCGATGCATCGCCGATGCGGCGCGTTCCTCCGCCCCCTCCTGCTCGGACCCCATCTGGGAGGCCGCTAGTACAGTCAACCCGTATAGTAAGGATGAGCATTTTTCCAAGGTTACCCTTGCATCCCCCCTTCGGCCCATCCTTGGCCGCTGTCGCTGGCCGTGCCCCGCCCGCAGGGTGTCGACATGGCCCTCCGAGGTCCTTGCATCCTCAGCGTGCGTCCTTACTACACGGGTTGGCTGTAACCTCGAGCCTCGAGGGCGAAAAGGCGGCGGCGGCGGCGCGGCGCCGCAGCCAAGGGCCCGCCTCCTCCTGGCCTGCGCGCTGGCCCTCGCCGCGGCGGGCGGCTGCGGGCGCGGCGTTGCGGAGGACGGGGCGCCTGGCGCGCGCGCGCGAGGGCGCCGCCGCCGCCGTCGACTCGAGGATCGACGCCGACTCGAGGATCGTCCGTCGCCGTCGTCGTTGTTGGCGTCGTCGTCGTCGGCGTCGTCGTAGTCACAGCTCGCCGCTTCGGTCGTCGTCGCCGTCGCCGTCGTCGCGCAAGGGCATCGACGTCGCCGTCGTCGCCCGTCCGTGGATCCAGATGTTTGGGCGTTTATCCCCCCCTTTTTTCTGAAGGCCTCTGGAGGCCTCCTGGAACTCGCCCAGGAAGCCGGACGTGCTCAATTCGGAGAGGCCGGTGAGAAATTGACCCATTCGGCAGCCGAACGGGCTCGATCTCGATGCCGTTTGGCTGGACGGGCTCAGAATTGAACCTGAAGGTTCTAAGGATCGACCCCGACGTTGGCCTTCGCAGGGCGGTCAACGGGGTGGATCTCGACACGCGGGGCGCGGAGGAGGAGGAAGAGGAGGAGGATGTCAAGGAGGATGTTCCAAGCGGCTTTTCTCAGTGCTCGGTCTCTGGAGGCCCGTTTTGGACCTCGAGACCGTCAAACGTGGATCCAGGTGAGGATGGACCTGGGAAGGGTCCAGGGATGGATGTTGATCGAATTTGTGTCGGCAGGAAGAGCATAGGATCAAGGATTGAGGCATTCGGATGTGTTTTTGGTTGACATGTCATGGTAGGCGAGATTACACGGTGCCATGTTGTATGGTGCGTATGTATGATATATGATGTTAAGTTGCGCGTTGCTAAGCTTCGCGGTGAACTGCCTGCTATATATATATATACATATATATATATATATATATATATATATAGCATGCCATGCTATAGCATGACATGGCATGCTGCGCAATGCTACACAATGCTAAGCACTGCTGCCTGCCATGATATGATCGGCGGTGCATTGCATTGCTTTGGCATATAGGACACCCCTGACGCCTGACTGAAGTCAGGGCTTATCTCGCTGCCCTACTGTGTAGCTCGAAAGCGGCCTCCACATACCAAATACACGAAAAAGCGGCTGGTCGCCAATATCTGGCGACTCCCAGAGGTTCCCGAATCAATTTATTCTTCCATACCGATATTGATCGGTTAGCTAGCGTGGACCCCAAACAGCGCGTTCTAGCATATAGCGTGGTGCAATCTACGTGGTGCAATCTATGTGGTAAAATCTACGTGGTGCAATCTATGTGGTGTAATTGATTTCTAGCACATGAATTTACACATTCCATGCCCCCGCAAATATCAAACCCACCCGCCAGCAACTTGGTTTGTAAAACTAATGCGGCGGCGATTGCGATGAGTGCTTGGCGTTGGCTGGTGCATCTCTGCGGCCGCGCTAGCCCGCGCATGCTCGCGCGCACAGCGGCCAGCTAGTTTGGCACGATCGAGGCGGGCGCGGTGGCGCTGACCGCTGGGCACTTCCCAGCGGGCACAGCAGTGCAAGTGGGTGACTTGGGCGGGCGCGGTATTATGGCGACGCCGACAACGGTGGACACGAATCTGAAAGTAGCGATGATGGTGGCGATGGTGGCGATGACGACGGCAAAGCCAATGACGGCATCGATGTTGATCACGCCCGCCGGTACAGATCACGATGCCTTCGCGTCGGCGATGAAGTGAAGCAGTTCGACATGCGCGCGCGGCCGACTCGCGCGAGTCGCCCGCGTGGTATTCTTCGACTCGGTTCGTGCCGCCCCCCCCAGCACGCGCGCAAGGGCATTCGAACGAGTTCAACATGCGCGTGCGTAGCATTAATAAAATGATGGGGAACCATGATTGTCCTAAGGATTCGCCACAACGCGGGCGCATGCTTCTTTTAAGAACCCGCGTTGCGAAACCATGTGTTCTTACATGTGTTCGTGGTTCTCGGTTTGAAATCCCTACGACACCTGAAGTTCTTGATGGATTTCGGCATGCGGCGCGCGCGACGACGCGCGCGTGCCCTCCGCCCCGTTTGTTTATCAGCATTCTTGCGACAGCACGCGCGCAACTGCGTTCGAACGATTCTGGCATGCGCGCGCGAGAGGCCAGTTTGGTAGAATTGCATGAACAAGTTGAAGCGCCTATCGTTTTCTAACTCTTCACAAGAGCGCGGGCGCAGGCTTTTTTTTGAAGATATGTCAGTGTTGCGAGACCATGTGCTTTTATGTGTTTTTTGTATTTCGGTATGCGCGTGCGTGCGCATTTCGTTACATCTATTGCAAGGCATTTTTCAAAAATGGTGATTTGTGATGGACGAGTGTGCGCGCACAGCTTATTTTCCAGACAACTAGGGGGTGGCAGTACCGTCCTGCCTGGAATGATGGTACGAATTTGTATTTAGGATGGGCGATGAAGCAGAATCTTATGTAGATTGCAGTGCGAAAAAAGTGGACAGTTAAGTCCGGGGGGGAAGGTAGATCCTTTTTTAAATTGGAAAAGACAATCTACATGATACAATGTGTGCCGTGCAATAGATTTGGTGCAAGCTGTGTGAAGTGAGCTATATGGTGCAATGCATGTGGTGCAGTATGTGCTGTGTAACCTATGTGGTGCAATGAATGGGGCAACCTACGCGGTGCAAAATATGCGGTGCCATGTATGTGGTGCAGTGCAAGTGGTGCTACTCACGCAGTGCAACCCACGTGGTGCAAAATGTGTGGTGGGCAGCCTACGTGGCGCAAAGCTACGCAAAGCAATGCCAGGCAATGCAAGGCACTGCGTAGCAATGCAAAGCGGTGCAAGTCAATGCAGGGCAGCGCAACGCAATGCGATTGCAAAGCAGCGCGATCGCAACGCAATGACGCAAAGCCATTCAAAGCGACGCAAACAAATGGAGAGCAATGCAGAGCACTGGCAAACATGCACAGCAATGCGAAGCAGTCGAGGCGGGCGGCGACGAGGCGGCGGGCGGCGACCGACAGCTGCCACATGTCGGCCAGAACGGCCCGCAGGCCCAGGCGACGGGCGGCGACGAGGCGGCGACGGCGGCTGCATGGCGGCCAGAGCGGCCCGCAGGCCCAGATCGTTAGAGGAAGGTAAGAAGCTCTAAGTACAAACATTGTTTGGGGAACCATATATGCATATATGTACACACGTTCCTACGACCACCCTTCAGGGAAAAGGACGTGCGGGGGCGGAGGAACCAATGTCTCACTCAATCGATACAACGCTCGATCACACAATCGATCTCATTCGATCGATCTCATAATCGATCGCACAGTCGATCTCACGATCGATCTCAATCGATCTCCTACAATCGATATCACACTTCCTCTCCCTATCGATCTCACAATCGATCGCACAGTCGATCTCGCAGTCGATCTCACTATCGATATCACTAGCATCTTGCCATCGATCTCACTGTCGGTCTTGCTGTCGATCTCACGATCGGTATCGGTCGCACCATCAATCTCACAATCGATCTCACTATCCCTCTCACTATCGATCCCCGATCGATCCCACTATCGATCCTACTATTGATCTCACCTTTTTTCCCACGATCGATCGCGCTATCGATCTGACTACCGATATCACCATTGACTCCACTTGCGATCGCGATATCGATTTCACTAGCGAGTTCGCGATCGATCGCGCGATCGATCTCCCTTTCGCACGATCGTTCTCAGACCGATCTCATTATCGATCCCACGATCGATCTCACTATCGATCTCACCGGCGGGACACCGACGGGACACCGGCGGGACACCAGCGGGACACCCCTGGCCACTGCCGGCCAACCGGGATTTTGGGCTCGGCGGCGCCGTAGCCAGAGGAAGGTTCACTCCTCTGGCCCGCCTTCACAGCTTCGCCTCGCCCGCACGCACGACACGAACAAGAAATCGCAACCGATTTTCCTGTTGGGGGTCTCTCCGTTTCACAACGACCTCACCCCCTCACTTCGGATATTCATCTTTTAACTAATACATATATATACATATATATATATATGCAAGATTTTACCGGCTCGCTGCGCTTCGCCTTTTAAATCTTGGTCGCATGGCGCCAGAATGGCGCGACGATATCCATTGTCGTCACATTCGGGGTGTGGTTCGGCTAGCGCGCCCATGGAGGAGACAGGGGCCGATGGGACCCATTGCATTCTGCGGCCCAGAGAGCTCAAAGCGGTGGAGGCCGTTATGGGGCGCAAGAGCTCGGAGGTCGAATTGGCGCAGAGGGTAATTCAGCAATTGCGGCTCCTGGGGTGCCTGAGACTCATAGGGTTCATAGGGCTTCTGGGGCTCGTTGGGGTTGTGGGTATTTTTGTGCGTATCGGGCCAGGGGCGCTCAATGCTCAGGCTGCTTATGCAGGGGTCATGGGGGTCATAGGGCTCGCGGCGCTCATGGGGCTCCTGGGGCTCCCTGAGGTCATCGGCTCGTGAAGGTCACTGGGCTCATGAGGCTCGCGATGCTCAAGGGGGGGCAGAGGCCGAGTTCGCCAACAGAGCGCGTAGACCTGGTAGGGCCCATGGGGCCCATCGGGGTCAAGGGGCATGCGGGGCCCATAGGGCTCGTGACCTGATAGGGCGTATAAGGCGCACAGGGCGCGTAAGTCTCGGAGGGCTCATTGTGGGGTGCCCAAGGGGCCCCAAGGCCAGAGGGCTCTCAGAGGTCATGGCTTCCCAGGGCTCATAGGGTGCATAGGCCTCATGGGGGTCATATGGCTCACATGGGGTCACAGGGATCGGGACGCTTCTGGTGCTCGGCTGATAGATTGCATGGTGCTCATGTGGCGTGGAGGGTTCATGGGGCCCATCGGGGTCCTTGTGGGGAAAGGGCTCATAGGGCTCATAGGGCTCAGAGGGCCCATATGTCTTCTGGGGTTCGTGGGCCTCTGCCGAAGCTGAAGACGATGCCAAGGACAAAGCCAATGCCAAACCTGACTTTGAAGCTGAGGTGCTGTGGTAGCGAGGTGGCGTAGTTTGAAACTGCATCAAAACCTGTGTGGTGCCCAGGTGTCGCTGAAGCTAAAGATCAACGCGGAAGCTACATACAAAATATG